TCCGAAAGCGGTGCGACTGTCGTGCTATCCTTTCCTGCCAAAAACACACTAAAAGAAACCGAATCAAACGCACCAGCGGCAAAAGTAATATAAACTTAAAAATAAGACTTGAAGACACACAACTACGAGTAATTCAAATAATAACAACTAAAGCTTTGAAAACAGATAAAAACATTGCAAAATTAACAACAAATAGCGTTTGAAAACACAAGTGAAATCCACCGATCAATGGACGTGAAATGTGCATTCCTGAATGGTCCCTTAGAAGAAGAAGTTTATGTTGTACAACCAGCTGGGTTTGTGAAATGAGGCGAAGAAAGAAAGGTGTACAAGCTGCATAAAGTCCTGTATGGACTTAAGCAAACTCCAAGAGATTGGAATAAGAAAATTGACGGCTTCTTAAGGGAGAAGAAATTTGTGAAGTGCAAGACTGAGCATGGAGTGTACATAAGAAGAAGCGTAGTGAACTGCTTATACTATGCCTCTATGTCGATGATCTGTTGATAACAGGACATTGTAAGAAAGAGATCGAAGACTTCAAACTTAACTTGAGTGAAGAATTTGAAATGTCAGACTTAGGAAATATTATTTCCTTGGCATTGAATTCTTCAAGAGTAGTAAAGGTTTGATGATGCACCAAAGAAGATATGCAGGCAAAATACTCAAGAGATTTGAGATGTAAGATTGCAATCCAACTTTGACTCCAGTTGAGACCAGATTGCAACTGTCGAAGGATTCAGATGAAGATGATGTCGACCCAAACCAATATAGATGACTTATTGGGCCACTTCGATGCCTTTGTCACATAAGGCCTGACTTAACATACGGTGTAGGTATGGTAAGTAAATTCATGTAGAATCCAAAGGTATCACACCTAGCAACGATGAAGAGGATACTAAGGTATCAGAAAAGGACTCTCTACTATGGAATTTTATTTCCTGCAGTTGATGAAGAAAAAGAATGCAAGTTAGTGAGATACACCGACTCTAGTTGGTGTAGTGATGCTGAGGATAGAAAATCCACAACTGACTATGTGTTTATGTTAGATGGTGCACCAGTTGCTTGGAGTTCGAGAAAGGAGGCAGTAGTGGCATTGTTATCATGTGAAGCAGAATATATAGATGCTTTTCTTTGTGCATGTTAAGCAACCTAGATGGTGAACCTGTTCAAAGAGATCACAACGAAGAGTCATGGAGCAATTATCATGAAGATCGACAACATGTGAGCTATCAACTTGGCAAAGAATCCAATAGCACACGGTCAAAGCAAGCACATCGAAATAAGGTTTCATTGTCTTTGAGAGCAGGTAGCAGAAGGGAAGATGAATTTAGAACGCTGCAGAACTGACAATCAGATTGTAGACATCATGACGAAGGGAGTTCTAGTCGAAGTATTCATAAGGCTAAAGTCTATGATGAGTGTAGATAGCTTAGACACAATGAATTAGGTGGTGCATTGAGTTTGTAATTCCTTGAGTCGAAACAGTGTAGCTCGACAGAAATAAGGATTGGTCAAATTAGCCTAATGTGTTAGTTTGTTAAGTTGCTTATTGTGTCGAAGTATCGAAGCAAGTTGCTTCACACAAGATTTCGACTTAGACCTATTTTAGTAATGTTAGCTTTTGGGCTTTTATAGTTTTGCACTTTGGATTTGGGTACAAGCAAAGCTAAATCTACAAATAGGGAGAAAACTTTATTTTGTATATGAACTCATCATATTTTGTAATTTACAGTTTGCAATTGCAAGTGAAAGAACAGATTTTTCACAGTTTGTGGGCAGAGAGTTCTCTGTAGAAAAATTGTTCATCTTCTTCTTCTCTAACATTTACTTTCTTTTCTTCTCTCTTTCTTTATTACTAAATCTTTTCATCGTCATTATGTGAGTGAGAACAATCTTGAGATCAAGGTTGATTGAGTGAAATTCTCCATAGATCGTGGTTGAATTTCCAACAAACACTTGAGAGTTGAGATCATTTTATCCTGTGAGGGTCTTCCTGCTTATTATATACTATTTGGTAAAATGTGTTCTTACTTGCTTTGACTGCCACAAAAAAGTTACTCACTAACATCATATTACTTGAAGTTTAGAATGAGGATTTCACTTACCCTTTTTTATGATTCCGAAAGTCTTTGAAATTGCATGCTCTGTTTTTTTCTTCTTCTTGTTTTTACTCTATTTTGAATTTTGACTTTATAATTTTGCTCAAAGTGCAAAGGTTTAAATGTAGGGGAATTTGGTCAATGTATTTTAATACACCATATTTTACTTTGTTTTAAGATATTTTTATGACTTGTTGCTTTTATTTTATTTCTTTTAGTGTGTTTCCTAAATTTAGCTTATTTCTACTTTTATTTTAATTCGGTTAGCTATTTTATGATTAAGCGGTAATTTGAAATCTTCTTGTTGTGTAGATTATTACTTGAGTTATGTGATGAGGTTTAACGCGTTCTAATATGTGTTGGGAACCTGAGAGGATAAGATGCAAGTTTTGTGTTGAAGTCAGAAAGCTAATTCGGAATACATAAGGGTCGAATAATTCATTTTATCTTCAGACTTAATAAAATAATTAGTTTTTGCCCGGTTTTTATGTTTTTCGGGTCGGGTGCTATTAGGGCCAAATATCCCTTTTATTATTTAAGTAAGTTTGCAGTTTTGTTTTTGCATTCAGTATTCACGAAATTAGAAGAGCTGTTACGACTTCTATAGAGAACTAACACCTTAAGGATTGATCTGTTGTAACTGTGTCTCCATCAACTTTGAGGTTTTTTTTAAATTTTCTAAAGCAATTTCAATTTCTTGTTAATTCTTTATGTAAATATGATTGCTTAATTCGATTTCCATTGTTTACTTAATTCTATTACTACTTACAGAATATGATTTATTTATTTCGATTGATGTATATTTCGTACCGCAATTGTGTTTGCTTAAATCGTGTTTGCTTAAATCGTGTCTGCTTAATATATTTGTTTAATTTCAAAATTATGAACACATATCATATATTAGTATCAATTGTGCTTGCTATTGTTGTTATAATTTAAAGAGAATTAAAATAGTTTAGGACTTCGGAATTATCTTAATAGATGATAAGTTGGAGACTGAACAGTAGATTAATTTGTCAATATTATTTGTAATCAAATTCTATTAATTGTAATCTTAATCGAAACCCAAACCCCCCCCCCTTCATTGTGTCGTGTAGTTGGTTAAATCATTCAAGAGTCATTGTAATACGAATCGAATGTCGCTTCCATTTTACTATATTTTTAATTCTCGTTTTTGACTCGTGTGTGACAATAGATCGAGTTTATTTGCTTCAATATCATCTCACGAGCCTCTAATGAAAGAAAATGAATCAGTTGATGATTTCTTCTCAAGATTAGTGTTACTCATCAATTTGTTGGAAGAATTAGTTCAAGAAGAATGAAGAAGAAGAAGAAAGAGAAAGTAAAAGAGAGAAACTATATTGTGAAAAAAGGAATTTTATTATGAAGTTGATGTGTGTTTTGATTTACATTGTCACATGTATAGATAGGCAATTAAACACATTATTTGCTAACTACAATATTCGACTCTATCAAATACATGCTTACATACTTCAACAACTATATATTATATTCAATAAATATATATTGTATTTGACTCTATTGAATACAAATAACTCTTACTCTACTATTCTTGACTAAGTTGTCTACAACTGCTTTAACTTTGTCAAACACAACTATATTAAATACAACTTTTCTATTAAAATCATGAATTACTAGCTTCTAACACAACATAAATGTAATTGTCGATATAATGAAAATATAAAGAATAGTTATCAATGGTCATTGACAAATATGATGTTTCAAGAATAATGAGTCCACCCTGCCTAATAATATTAGTAATTAAGTAGAAAAAGATAAATTTTAAAACCTGAGATGCTATTATTAACGGTTTTGATGGTGTGTTTGATTTGCAAAATAAAAAATATTGGATAAAACAATACTAGACCGCACATAACAGTATAAGACAATTTTTTGTATTGTATTGTGTTTGATTGTCGATGCATTAGAGAATTTTTTATCTATTTTGTTTGATGCTATGCACCAAATAATATAATTTCTATTATAATATTTTTATTGAAATATAAAATATTGATATTCTTGAATCAAAATATTAAAAAATAGAAATAGAAAAAAAAACGACGAATAGAACAAAAATAGTATAATTTTATTATAATATTCTTTATTAATTAATAAAATATTTATATATCAAAATATTAATTAGAGTGAGATTAAAAATTAGATTATGATATTTTTTTTTATAATTTGTGTTTGAGACAAAATTGTTCCATGATTTAGTGAGACAAGAACATGTTTTTTAATATATTTTGTGCATCAAACAAAGTAAAAAAGAAAATTGTGATGTCCAATCTCTCATTTTTAATCAAATCAAACCCAGCCTGAGATTCAATTCTTAACAAAAGGTTCATAACAAAGATGCAAGAGATTCAATTTGTGACAAAAGGTTCAAAACAAAGATGCAAGAACATGTCTGAGATTATTATGCCCTCACTAGGCTCTAAAGTTATTACCTGAAACTCCCATAATATCATATTGAAGTCTCCACCAATAGAAACCAAAGATAAAAGCTTATTCATTTATTTGTTACAAGAATAAAATGTAAAAAAATTATTAGTTTTGCCAAAAAAAAAACGAAGCCGTTGGTTTATATAACCAGTCAAGAATTATTCAAACATAGTTTCAAAATGGAAAACATAAATCATAGATGTTTTATACAAACTCAATGTATCATTGCAAATGTGCTGAAATAAACTCAATCTTCCATCATATCCCGCATTATAGTATATAAGATTTATACCATACAAATTTTCATTGCCCCCCTATTAAAAAAATGGGGGAAAGGAAACAGAACAAAAATTGAAGATAGATAGAAAAATATCAACGTTTTCCATTTCCATGTTTGGTGAAATTAGTGGGGTTCTAGCTTTTTACAGAGTTGTTTTATTCTTGGACAGGTTTAATTTGCGAATCACCACCTGGAGTATGTGGGACCCATGAAGACCCACCTCTTGAACTGTATTCCGAGCTATACATATCGAATTCAGACTCATCAAAACTTCCATTAGCCATTCTTTTGAATCTCATAAGGTCTTCATTATACTGTCCAGAATCATAAATTGTGCTCTGTCCATATTTCACTCCATTTGATAGATCATATAGTTGGTCTCCACTGTCCAAGGCTCTTGCAATCTGATAAAAAAAAATCAAGTTATGAATGCATATAATGATATTTGTTAAAACGAGATAGCCGTGCGTTAGTATTGTTGTTACCTGAACCATTCGCGGTCGTTTTGGGGCAGAATGACGAACACATGCTGCAGCTGCCTCGATCATTCGAAACATTTCACTGTCGACGTATTGTCGTTGAAGCCTTGGGTCTGCTAGTTCACTAAAATCACCTGTCTTGATTGCACGAAGGAGAAGTGGACGAGCCTGTGAAAACATCATTCAAACCGCATAGTTAAGTTAACTACGTATGATCAGAATCAATACAACAGCAACCAAGTCTTATTCCACTAAGTAGTGTCGGCTACGTGGATCAACTTCCGCCATAGTTATGACAAACTAATATTATTGATCTATGTAATGCGACACTATAATATATAAGACTTGTTTTGGTTCATACATACCCACTCGACCAAACTCTCATCCCCCACGGGTTGTGTTGCATCAACAGGTTTCCTTCCCGTTATGAGCTCAAGAAGAACAACTCCAAATGAGAAAACATCTGATCTATCCGTTAGTTTTCCACTAGTTGCATACTCTGGAGCCATATAGCTGTGAAATTAAGGTAAATAAAATGAATTAGACTCTTTTAGTTTATCATTTGACATTACTTAATTAAGGCCTTCTCAAATTATGGTTTTCTTTTAAAGGTATTTTTTTCAAAATCAACTACTTTTATCAAATAGGGAACATACCCAAAAGTACCCATCACCCTAGTTGATACATGAGTATTAGCATCATCGGTTAGTCGGGCAAGTCCAAAGTCTGCAACCTGTGTTAGAACAAGGATAAATTGAGATCCAGGACTTCATTTTAAATAAGGGACCATGAAAAAGTGAAATTAAAAAGTATATGCATAACATACTTGTGCCTCATAAGCATTATCCAACAGTATATTCGACGACTTAATATCTCTGTGAATAATCTTTGGGTTACCTAGAAAAATAGAAAAATAAGCCTTAGCATAAAATCAGGAGGGGATAGTAAGATTGGAAAACATAAGATCGTAACTAAGACTAGAAGATTCTATCAGAATATACATATACTTACAGCCTTCGTGTAAATATGCTAGGCCCCTTGCAGCACCAATTGCTATCTTCATCCTTTTGGACCAATCCAAAACATTCCATTCACTTCCTGAGAAAAAAAACACAAAAAACCCACATATGACAAACACTTTTAAGAAAACACATTTCTTAATTTTCATGAGTTTGGTTTCCCTACAATTGTTTTATAGTGAAGCATCCGTAGAAATGGTTAGATTTAGAGAGTTAACAATTTCTACCGCTGCTGTACCATAAAACAACCGGAGAGAAACCGAGTCAAATATTTCCAAAGAGAACAATAATACAAAAATGAAACTCACATTACCATGCAAATGTTGATCAAGATTCCCATTAGGGACAAACTCATAAATGAGAACTCTTTGTTGCTCAGATAAACAATACCCAATCAGCGATACCAAATGTCGATGATGAACACGGCTAATAATATCAACCTCTGCTCTGAACTCCCTCTCTCCTTGACCACTACCGACCTTCAATAACTTAACCGCTCCAACTCTACCATCATACATTGAAGCCTTGTAAACACGCCCAAAACCCCCTTCTCCTATCACATTTTCGCTTGAAAACTCATTAGTAATTTCCACAATCTGTTCATAACTAAACAAAGTTTGGCCAGTATTCATTTGTTGTTGTTGTGTTGGGTCTGAAGGAGATCTCAAATATTGCATTGCAACTAAATGGTTCCTATTACTATAACCAAAACCTGGTGACTCTACATAGTAATGCACATCTGAAAAAGAAGACAAAAATTGATTGCACAATTCAACAATATATTAATAAAATGAAAATAATAGAAATGCTTAAAACATATTATTTAACACTGCTGATCGAAGACGTGTGTGACACATACCAATAGCATTCGTGACACGATACTGATATCTAATGATTACATACAATCACTTATGTTTTTTCAAATTATTATTGAATCTATGTATTGAGAGTAGTGTGTCTATATCAATGCTTCATTGAATTTCAACAAACTCTTTACAATATTGACGATAAATCATGTAAAAAATAATATTTTTTTACTTTATTACCTCCTTTCATTTGAGATTTCTTGGGGGGTGGCATAGCATAGACATTCCCTCGTTTCTCTTTCCTTTTTAATACTAGACAAAGAATGACGGCAATAAACGCGAGAACCAAAACTGCTGCGAGAGTAAGACCAATGTATTGTGCTTGATTAGCATTGAAGAAGTTTTGTTTTGATTGAGATTTGCTTCTGGGAGGAGAAGAGCTTGGTCTTAAATGGGAGCTTGGGGAAACCGACTGTGATTGCGGCGGCGAAGGATGGCTGTACAGTGGTGGGGGACTAAATTTGGAAGAGGGGGAAGGTAAGGATGGAGCTTGAGGAGGTCGAGGAGGGGACTTAGATTGTGGTGGAGTGGGAGAATTATCGTCGGGCGGTGGTGGTGGTGAAAATGATGGAGCTGGTGGCGGTGATATTGGTGTTGGAGGCGGTGACGATTGAGGCGGTGATGACTGAGAAGGTGGAGGAGGTGAAACTTTTGATGGAGGTGACGAAGAATCTGGAGCTTCCGGTGGAGTTTGCGCTTCAGGTGGAGCTTCCGGTGGAGTTTGCGCTTCAGGTGGAGCTTCCGGTGGAGATTGCGCTTCAGGTGGAGCTTTCGGTGGAGTTTGCGCTTCCGGAGGTGGTGGTGATGGAGAAGGTGGTGGAGAACGATGCGGAGGTGGAGACTTTGATGGTGCTTTTTCTGGAGGATTTGAGTCATCGGATGGTGGTTTAGATGGAGAAGGAGCAGAAGCATTTTTTTCTGAAGCTTTTTCAGAAGGTTTATTTTCTGAAGCATTTTCAGAAGCTTCTTCAGAATCTTTATTAAAAGCTGTTTCTGAATGCGAAGAAGATGTTCCATTTGACTCCCCATTTGCCTTAGCCATTTCTGAATTCATCCTAAACTTAAACTTTATATATTCTCAGAAATGGCTACAAAAATGAAAAACAAAAACAAAAGAACGCCAATGACAACCAACAACAATCTTGAATGTTTATCCCATTTGTGTTCAGAAATTGAAGATGTTTTGTTTTATGATCTCATAATCAAATCAGAAAAACAAACAAAAACAATGTAATGATGTTGTTCTTCTTTTAAAAAATGAAGCTTAGTTCCAATCATGAAGTGGCCAGAAAATTGGTTGATTCTGGGTAACAGAATTGCCAGCAAGACGATCAAGTTGTTAGAGAAAAGAGGAGAGAAGTTAAATTCATGTCTGAAATTCGAGGAAGAGAAAATAAAGATAATAGTAATAATTACAAAAATAATTAATAATTCTGAAAATGGAAGAAAATGAGTCATTGTAATTCCTTAAACATTATGTGTTGGTATTATTTTAGGTAATTAGTTTCATGCATGCATAGACTCATGTTTGTGTGCGGTTGGGTTTGTTAAGCAAACAAGTGTTACTCTTTTTCTATTGTCTCTTTTCTTTCCTACAATTTGGGATTACCACGCAAACTAATTTATTTAGGTACTTATTAAATAAGTAAAGTTAAATTATTTCCTTATAAGAAAGGAAAAAAATTAAAACAAACAAACTGTGAATTACAAACTGGCCCGTTCTGAACTTTTTTTGGACAGACAATTTGATGCCCCATTTTCTTTTGTTTTTTACTACAGTGCTTCAATTAATTAAATATTAACATTTTTAAATATCGTAAATTACATCTTTCTGTTTTTTCTAAAAGATAGATATATTATATTCTCCACATTCTTTAGTTAAAATATGCATTCATGTCCATGATGTTATTTTGTAATAATAAATCGGTCATCAGTATGCATTCAATCTTAAAAATGTTTTCTCATGATCTCCCGAATTAATGTCTCAATAGTAGTATTTAGAGTTGTTGGTTCGAGTGAAGGACGGGAGGCATGTTCCGTGAAAAAAGTGTCAACAGCAGTAGAAAGTGTATGTGGATGATAGACTCACACATGGGAGGAGTATTGAGAAAAACAAGTGTGAGTTGAACATGTAGTGTGGAAAAGTCCCACATTGATTAGGAAAGTGGAGATTGCGCATTTATAAGTGAGAAAACTCGCTCATAAAGAAAGACCCCAGCGTAAAAATGCATCTTTTGGCAATGTGGGACTAATTTTACCCCTTTAAAGCCAACACAAGTGTTGGAAGCTGCAATTAAGGTGACTAGGGGCGGACCCGTAATGGCTTACGCAAACTCTAAATACATGCAATACCTCAAAAATAACAAGAGTTGACATTTTAAAATAATTAATTTAAATTTGTCACATAACCCTTAACATTTTTAGTGTTATCTTGTGTCGTGCATGTTCTAAACTTTCATGCTATGATTATTTGATGTTAATAAACATGACACTACTAGAAACATTGATTTTAACATCAGTCAAAATCCCACATTAACAAACAAAAAGTTGACCCTAACTTGATTTAGTGTCAGTTTGGCCGACCCTCGAAATCCTGAAGCTAAATTCAATCGTCTACTTCTTAAGAGCAGAGACTATTGAGTGTTCACTATGCGGCCGCAATGTAGACACTAATGTCATTTCATTATTAGCGCAAGATAGCATTGCCTTGGCTCAACCATCCGCAATTGGCATCAGCGTGGCCAGTGCTTCATAAGAAGAAACAAAACCAACTAATAAGCTTTATTTCGTTGGCTATATGAATCAAATGACATCATAATGTTCTATCATATATCAGACTTCTATCCATTTCTAAATTTTCTTAATAGTTTTTCTAAAAATTTATGTATTGAGTGATTTGGCTTCTAGTGATTTGATTATCCGCCATTTAATAACTTACCAATTTTGGTTAACAATTTTTCATTCTTTATTATATTCTCTCCGGTCTCATTTATAACCAAAAGTCCAAAACTATTTAATTACTTGTGAGAATGTATCCTTTCATGTGACCACTTAAATCATCTCCATTCATTATAGAGATTATAGAAAGAGAATTTAAAAAAGAGAGAGATTTAAGACTAGAGATGTGGACACTTGAAAAATCATGACAGAAAAAAAATGGAGAGATTCATTTCCAACTGCTGGCGTATTAAGAATAGTGGTTAACTTCATTTAAATTTGTATGTAATCTTAAACATTATACTATGCCAAAATAAGGGTTTCTTTTGGAGTGTTGATATTAAATAGAGTTAAAATTATTAACTTTTACTTATATTTGAGGTAGGGCTGGAAATGAGTCGAGTCGAGTCGAACTCACCTCAGCTCGGCTCGACTCGTTAAGAATTTTTCGAGTTCGAGTTCGAGTTCGAGTTCAACACGAACTTTTTTTTAAGCTCAAACTCGACTCGTTATGAATTGTTTCGAGTTCGAGTTCGAGTTCGAGTTCAACACGAACTTTTTTTTAAGTTCAAACTCGACTTGTTATAAGTTCACGAACAGTTTGGTTCAACTCATTAGGATCAGCTCACATGATTCACGGGCTTAAAAACTATTTTTTTTAATATATATATATTTTAGTATATTTGACATTTTAAATAAATATATTTTTTTTAAAATAAAATATTAAAATAAAATAAAAATTATCATATTGAAATTTAACTTTATCTTCGAAATCTACTAATTCAAAACTTACACAACTTTCAAGAGATACATTTGAGAGTCTAATTCAAAAACTACTAAGTTGAAGATTAAATTTGTCTAAGATTTAGATTAAATATTTAAACCTAATCTTAAAGACAGTATAATTATTCTCATATGTAATCGAGTTAACTCATGAACCTAACGAGTCGAACTATGTAGAGTTCAAGTTCAGCTCATTTAGTTAACGAACTTAATTTTTCGCTCATACTCAACTCATTAGGTTCATGAACCTAGTTCAACGATCTAATTGTCGAATCGAATTTCGAACTATTTTCGAGTTGGTTCGGTTCATTGCCAGCCCTAATTTGAGGCCACTTAATTATATTCTTTTGTTACTTATAAATAAGGTCGAAGGGAGTATTTTAGATCAGAGTAGAAAAGAAAAATTGACAATCAAATTTCATGGAGATGCGGAAGTGAGACAACGCAAAAACAGATAGAAAAAATCAAAGAAAAAAAAAGTCTTACAATTGTAGTACATCCCCTCAAGCTTTGCTCTTTTCTCAATTGCAGAAGTGTGTCTCCCTCAAGGAGAAGAACCTTGAGTAGAGTCCTTTGGGAAAAACTTCTCATTCTTGTAAATCATTGGCAGTACAAGACATAGCTAGCTTAGCATTCTTTCTTAGTCTACCATCACCATCAAATTCCTTCTGAAAAATCAAGTCAAGGAACTACTCAGAGTTTAGAAAAGGCTAGAGGCACCAACTCAAAATAGTAACAGATAACAAGCCAATAATAAAAACAAAATCAAACAGAAAAATGGAAACAAAAAGCACTAGGCAAAAAATGAAAATAAAGAAAGAAATAGCATCAGCCCTTAAATTTTTATATACCTTGCACTATGAACATTGAACACAAAACAAAGACACTCAATGGCCATTGGCATTGATAACAAGTTAACAACAGAGATTCAACATTCATTCAGGTGGATTGAATAACTCTTACCAAGAAAGTGATAGCGTAAAATTTGATGAAAAGATTTAATCAAGGAATATTTTCCAAAATTAATCAAAGCATCATTGACTACTTGCATGACAAGTAGCTTCTATGAGTTTGATACATCAAGGACCGTGATTCACTGAATGGATGAATCTGGATATCTCATAAAGAGCTAAAAACAGAAAAATCTCAACATCACACAGAGAAATATAAATTTAATTTTCCTCAATTAATGGATTTGTATAGAATGGTTTATAAAAGAAATCAAGACAACACATGCAAAAATGGTGCTTACAATCTTCAGATTAGGTTAGAATTGAGGAAGATCAAAGTTTGACTTATTAGTCAACAGAAACTCAAGAACAAAGCATACAAAATGAACTTCTTTGAGCATTGGGAGTAAGTGGAATCGCTCAATGTACACGGAACAAAAATTTGTAGAAAAATTATTGAATGTAAAGAAGTGCTAACTAACAGCGAGAACTTCTGCCTGAGGAATTTGCAACGGAAGGAAGAGAAAGAGACGATAGAGGATTCTGGACAGAGAGAAGATGAATGTTCAACGGAGAGGGAGTGTTTGTTTCTTCTTCTTTTCTTAAAAGAGGGTTTTAGTGAGAAAACCAGAGGGTACTATTGTTCAGGTGTTTTAAGATGGAATTTAGCAATTTTCGCTCCATTCCATTTTTTTTAATCAGTCTAAATAATAAAATATAATCTATCAATTTCATCTTTCATTCCATCCATCTAAAAATACTACTTCCTTAAGAAAAAAAATAGTACTTTCTATTTTACAATAAATAATTCAGTTCATCATTTTACACATATTAAAATAAATAAATAAATGAAAGAGATAATAATATTTTTACTAAAATATTTAATTTCTTTATTAAATATTGAGAATGATAAAAGTAATATTAATTAGATGGTAGAATTGAAAAATGTGTATTAGAAATCGAAATGGGTCATTCATTTTAGGATTTTTTTATATTTTAAATAGGTCACTCGTTGTAAAACGAAAGAGTATAAGATTGTTTGAATATAATAAAATGAATCGAGTAGAGTGGAGTTGAGCGGAATGGAATGTAACGGAATGGAGCATAGAGAAATAAAGATTATATTTCAGCGTTTAGAAATTTTATGACAAAACAAGACAAATTCTTCATTCCACTCAAAATAGAGGAGAAGAAATATGGTGGTAAGACATGGAATATAATAGAATTCATATTACATCATTCCGCTTCGCTCTATCCGATTTTAAAATATCTCAACATATTACATTTAAAAGGTGTAAAACTAATATATTAAATGTAAAGATATCTCAAAGGTACATGTCTAATCAAATAATCGAAATGAAAAATTACAAAC